TTACTTAGGGCCACAGAATTGTTACTCAGGGACAGACACAGAATTGTTACTGAGGGACACAGAATTGTTACTGAGGGACACAGAAACGTTACTTAGGGCCACAGAAACGTTACTTAGGGCCACAGAATTGTTACTTAGGGACAGACACAGAATTGTTACTGAGGGACACAGAATTGTTACTGAGGGCCACAGAACGTTACTTAGGGCCACAGAATTGTTACTTAGGGCCACAGATTGTTACTTAGGGCCACAGAATCGTTACTTACGTTACTATAGGGCCACAGAATTGTTACTTAGGGACACAGAATTGTTACTTAGGGGGACACAGAATTGTTACTCAGGGACAGACACAGAATTGTTACTGAGGGGACACAGAATTGTTACTGAGGGCCACAGAACGTTACTTAGGGCCACAGAATTGTTACTTAGGGCCACAGAATTGTTACTTAGGGGGCCACAGAATTGTTACTTAGGGACAGACACAGAATTGTTACTGAGGGACACAGAATTGTTACACAGAATTGTTACTTAGGGCCACAGAAACGTTACTTAGGGCCACAGAAACGTTACTTAGGGACACAGAATTGTTACTCAGGGACAGACACAGAATTGTTACTGAGGGACACAGAATTGTTACTAGGGGACACAGAATTGTTACTGAGGGCCACAGAATTGTTACTTAGGGCCAGACAGTTACTTAGGGACACAGAATTGTTACTTAGGGACACAGAATTGTTACTTAGGGACACAGAATTGTTACTTAGGGCCACAGAATTGTTACTTAGGGACACAGAATTGTTACTAGGGACACAGAATTGTTACTAGGGACACAGAATTGTTACTTAGGGGACACAGAATTGTTACTCAGGGACACAGAATTGTTACTGAGGGAATTGTTACTGAGGGACACAGAATTGTTACTGAGGGACACAGAATTGTTACTTAGGGGGACACAGAATTGTTACTTAGGGACACAGAATTGTTACTCAGGGACACAGAATTGTTACTCAGGGACACAGAATTGTTACTGAGGGACACTGAGGGACACAGAATTGTTACTCAGGGACACAGAATTGTTACTCAGGGACAGGGACACAGAATTGTTACTCAGGGAGGGACACAGAATTGTTACTGAGGGACACAGAATTGTTACTGAGGGACACAGAATTGTTACTGAGGGCCACAGAACTGTTACTTAGGGCCACACAAAACGTTACTCAGGGACACAGAATTGTTACTCAGGGACAGACACAGAATTGTTACTCAGGGACACAGAATCGTTTAATTAAAGAGTATGTCAGACAACATGCAGAGGAGTGGCAGAGGAGGCAATGTTTTAGGAGCGAGCAGACGTGGCAGCAGAGGAAGGGGTCGAGGCAGCACTATTCGCAGCCAGAGGCCAGTGCTCCCGGTGTCATCCAGCGGTGTCGTGTCTCCACCGACAACCCTGCCGTCATCGATTGGTTGGCTCGGTCGTCTTCCTCTTCCCAGGTCACCTCTGACACCTACAGCCAACGGTCGGTGGGTACGTCAGACACAACCGTTAGTTGGCATGGCCCGGGAGCAAGCCCACTGAAATCACGTGTCCTCTACCTGCCCCTGTCCTTTGGTGTTCCCTCACCAAGCGAAGTATCGCATGCTGTGGGCTCAGCCCCACTGTACAGTGAGGAAGAGCAAACAGAGGGCGGTCAGGAACGGGGGGAGACATCCGCCTCTTCAGCAGCCAGGCGAAGAAGTAGTGGCGAGGAGAGTGGCTCGGTAGCCGGTCTAGAGACAGGTCTGTCTCCTGACCCACACGCAGCCGAGGGGGCTAGTAGTGAGGCGGAGACCCTAATTGATGATGATGATGAGGCTGATCGCACTTGGCAGCCTCGTCGTCATCAGGCTATTGCTTCCGCATCATCAGGAGAAGAGGGTGGCAGCTTGGCAGCGAGCAAAACAGTCGGTGGGTTGCCCAGGAGGGCAGCAGGGTCGCAGCAGTGTCAGTGGAGGCAAACGGCCACGGAGTACAGCACCAGCTCCACTGCAGCCTACCACCACGGCCAGTAGTGGTGCCGGTGTGCACGGAGGAAGCAGCAGTCAGCCAGTGAGGAGTATCGGGGGCAAAGTTTCCTACTCGGCGGTGTGGCAATTTTTTGTCAAGCCGCCCGAGGAAGTAAACGTAGCCGTATGTCGACTATGTGGCCAGAAAGTCAAGCGTGGCCAGGGGGCCCATGTTGGGACTACAGCGTTGCGGCAGCATATGCAGCGTCGCCATTTGGTGGCCTGGGAAAACCGTGATAAAGATACGGCGGTTCTGCCCGCCCCAGCCCCCGCTCCATCACCCGCTCCGTTACTTGCTCCGTCACCCGACGTCAATCGCCCTCTATCAGCCAGTCAAGGCTCCAACACCTCTGCTGAGGGGAGAGTTGTCGCTCGTTGCCATCTTCCGCTCGTTCAGATGCTCCTTCTCCTGCTACTCCTCTTCACGGATTCCGTCAGCAGTCTTTCTTGGAATCCGTTTCCAAGAGACAACAGTTTGCGAGCACGCACCCGACGGGTGCAAAAGCTGAACGTCCTCCTGTCCAAGTTGCTGGTGCTGCAGTCCCTCCCTTTCCAAGTGGTGGACTCAGCACCTTTCCGAGAAATGATGGCTTGTGCCGCGCCGCGGTGGAGAGTGCCAAGCCGTCATTTCTTCGCCAAAAAGGCAGTGCCAGCCCTGCATTCACATGTAGAAGAGATGGTGGGCCAGTCTTTGAGCATGTCGGTCTCTGCCAAAGTGCACGGCAGCGCCGACGTGTGGAGCTGTAACTACGGTCAGGGACAGTACATGTCATTTACGGCCCACTGGGTGAACGTGGTGCCGGCACAGCCGCACCAGCAACTTGGACAGGTCACGCCGCTTTTGCCTCCACGTTTGCACGTCCTTGGTCCACAAAAGATGTCCGCCTCTACCACCTCTTCTTCCGCCGTGTCCTCAGCCGCCACCCCCGTGCCAAGTCCCATTACCCGACCGGCATATCACATGTGCAGGGCGCAACGGTGTCACGCTGTGCTGCACCTGGTATGCCCTTGGCGAACGTAGTCACACAGGGGAGGAACTTCTCAGTGTAATGAACAGAGAAATCGACAGATGGCTGTCTCCGCGCAAACTGAAAATCGGAACCATGTTGACCGACAACGGAAAGAACATGGTGTCTGCTCTGCGTCAAGGAAGGTTGTGCCATGCGCCATGCATGGCTCACGTGTTCAATCTGGTTGTCAAGCGGTTCCTAAAATCCACCATCCCACTGCAAGACATCCTTAAAATGTCACGTAAACTTTGCATGCATTTCAGCCATTCCTACACCGCAAAGCACACCCTCCTTGAGCTGCAGCGGCAGAACGGAATTCCACAGCATCGCCTGATCTGCGACGTTGCAACAAGGTGGAATTCAACCCTACACATGTTAGACCGCCTTTACGAACAGCGAAAGGCCATCACCGATTTCCTGATGTTACAAGCGGATAAAGGTACTCCCCTGTGTAACTTCGATGTCAGCCATTGGCAGCTCATGCGTGACACCTGCCGCTTGCTCAGGCCCTTTGAGGAGGCCACGCTATTCGTGAGTCGGCAGGACTATGGGATGAACGACGTCATTCCTCTGTTGCACGTCCTGGAACAAATGCTGTTAACAATGGCTGGTCAGGGTGCGGTAGACGTGGCGCACAGATCTCAACGCCACATGACCCCTGGGGGGGGCAGGACAGGAAGAAGAGGAGGAGGTAGAGGAGGACATTTGTGCTCAGGAATTATTGAGTGAAATGGGTGGTTTTTTCCACTCAGCGGACAGGAGTGGAGGAGCAGGAGCATCTGGTAGAGGAGGAGGAGGAGGAGACAGAGGACCCAGACGCACCGTGGCAGTATGCTGTGGAGATGGAGGCAGGGAGTCCCTCGCATTCCTTGGCACAAATGGCCCATAGCATGCTCGGTTGCTTGCGTAGCGACAGCCGAATAATAACCATCAGACAGAGGGATGACTTTTGGCTGTCCACCTTGTTGGACCCTCGCTACCGTTCAAAAAAATGGTGGCCTTTTTCACACCTGCTGAGAGGGAGGCCAAAATAACGTACTATAAAAACCACCTATGTAGTCAGTTGGTCTCTGCCTTTGTGCGCCAACGTCCATCCTCAGACACTGTGGGCCCTGTGCGCTCGCGTTCCGCTGCCATGGCAGCAGGGAGGGGGTGGGGTGGTAGGAGCAGTGGTAGCTCCACCAGCAGCGGCTGCCTCAGTCTGCAGTCGATGATGAGTAGCTTTCTTCACCAGCGCAGTGAGGAAACTACTACTAAGCCGCCGCAGCAGCAGCAGCATCAGGTGGACCTGGAGCAGGACCTCAAACAACAGGCTTGGGCCTACTTGGACAGCACCCTGCCAACCGAGGTAGACAATCCCCTTGACTACTGGGCAACGAAACTTGACCTTTGGCCCCAACTAGCTGAATTTGCCCTTGAAAGGCTGTCATGCCCGGCCAGTAGCGTGGCATCGGAGCGCGTGTTTAGTGCGGCAGGAGGTATTGTAACTCCGCGGAGGACACGACTGTCCACCCAAAGTGTGGAGAGACTCACGTTTGTGAAAATGAATCAGGCGTGGATTAGTCTGGATTTCAAACCACCAGTTCCTGACACAACTGACTAAATCCGCCATGAATCATGCCCCTGCCATGTGCCACTTTCAGGTCTCCTCACACTGCTGGTGTGTTCCATTTTTTGTCATAGGGTGCTGGCAGATTACGGGCCTCCCATAGCTGCTCCCATACCGCTGCTCATGCCTGCCAGGTCCCCTGGGTCTGCCATGGCTGCCCCTGTACCGCCTCCTCATGCTGCTGCCAGGTCCACAGCCCCTCTCATGCCATGTGCCACTTTCAGGTCTCCTCACACTGCTGGTGTGTTCAATTTTTTGACATAGGGTGCTGGCAGATTACGGGCCTCCCATAGCTGCTGCCAGGCCCCTAATCTGCCATGGGCCCCTATACCGCCTCCTCATGCTGCTGCCAGGTCCAGAGTCTCTCATGGGTCCCTGTACGGCCTCCCATTGCTGCTGTCTCCATCGCCACACTCTGCCATGTGCCACTTTCAGGTCTCCTCACACACTGCTGGTGTGTTCCATTTTTTGACATAGGGTGCTGGCAGATTACGGGCCTCCCATAGCTGCTGCTGCCAGGCCCCTAATCTGCCATGGGCCCCTGTACCGCCTCCTCATGCTGCTGCCTCATGGGTCCCTGTACGGCCTCCCATTGCTGCTGCATTGCATGGCTGTCTGCCATAGCCAGTCTGTCATGGGTCCCACAGTGTCTCCATCGCCACACATGCCATGTGCCACTTTCAGGTCTCCTCACACTGCTGGTGTGTTCCATTTTTTGTCATAGGGTGCTGGCAGATTACGGGCCTCATATAGCTGCTGCCAGGCCCCTAATCTGCCATGGGCCCCTATACCGCCTCCTCACCGCCTCCTCATGCTGCTGCCACTGCTGGTGGTTCCAGGGGTGCTGGAGTCGGGCCTCATGGGCCAGGCCCCCTGTACGGCCTCCCATTGCTGCTGTCTCCATCGCCACTGTCTCTGCCATGTGCCACTTTCAGGTCTCCTCACACACTGCTGGTGTGTTCATTTTTTGACATAGGGTGCTGGCAGATTACGGGCCTCCCATAGCTGCTGCCAGGCCCCTAATCTGCCATGGGCCCCTATATACCGCCTCCTCATGCTGCTGCCAGGTCCAGAGTCTGTCATGGGTCCCTGTACGGCCTCCCATTGCTGCTGTCTCCATCGCCACACTCTGCCATGTGCCACTTTCAGGTCTCCTCACACTGCTGGTGTGTTCCATTTTTTGTCATAGGGTGCTGGCAGATTACGGGCCTCCCATAGCTGCTGCCAGGCCCCTAATCTGCCATGGGCCCCTATACCGCCTCCTCATGCTGCTGCCAAGGTCCAGAGTCTGTCATGGGTCCCTGTACGGCCTCCCATTGCTGCTGTCTCCATCGCCACACTCTGCCATGTGCCACTTTCAGGTCTCCTCACACACTGCTGGTGTGTTCAATTTTTTGACATAGGGTGCTGGCAGATTACGGGCCTCCCATAGCTGCTGCCAGGCCCCTAATCTGCCATGGGCCCCTATACCGCCTCCTCTGCTGCTCAGGTGCTGCTGGGCCAGGTCCATTGCTGTCTCTCATGCCATGTGCCACTTTCAGGTCTCCTCACACTGCTGGTGTGTTCCATTTTTTGTCATAGGGTGCTGGCAGATTACGGGCCTCCTATAGCTGCTGCCAGGCCCCTAATCTGCCATGGGCCCCTATACCGCCTCCTCATGCTGCTGCCAGGTCCAGAGTCTCTCATGGGTCCCTGTACGGCCTCCCATTGCTGCTGTCTCCATCGCCACACTCTGCCATGTGCCACTTTCAGGTCTCCTCACACACTGCTGGTGTGTTCAATTTTTTGACATAGGGTGCTGGCAGATTACGGGCCTCCCATTGCTGCTGCCAGGCCCGTAATCTGCCATGGGCCCCCGTACCGACTCCTCATGCTGTGACGTTGCAACAAGGTGGAATTCAACCCTACATATGTTAGACCGCCTTTACGAACAGCAAAAGGCCATCACAGATTTCCTGATGTTAAAAGCAGATAAAGGTACTCCCTGTGTAACTTAGATGTCAGCCATTGGCAGCTCATGCGTGACACCTGCGCTTGCTCAGGCCCTTTGAGGAGGCCACGCTATTCGTGAGTCGGCAGGACTATGGGATGAACGACGTCATTCCTCTGTTGCACGTCCTGGAACAAATGCTGTTAACAATGGCTGGTCAGGGTGCGGTAGACGTGGCGCACAGATCTCAACGCGCACATGACCCCTGTGGGGGCAGGACAGGAAGAAGAGGAGGAGGTAGAGGAGGACATTGGTGCTCAGGAATTATTGAGTGAAATGGGTGGTTTTTCCACTCAGCGGACAGGAGTGGAGGAGCAGGAGCATCTGGTAGAGGAGGAGGAGGAGACAGAGGACCCAGACGCACCGTGGCAGTATGCTGTGGAGATGGAGGCAGGGAGTCCCTCGCATTCCTTGGCACAAATGGCCCATAGCATGCTCGCTTGCATGCGTACCGACAGCCGAATAATAACCATCAGACAGAGGGATGACTTTTGGCTGTCCACCTTGTTGGACCCTCGCTACCGTTCAAAAATGGTAGCCTTTTTCACACCTGCTGAGAGGGAGGCCAAAATAACGTACTATAAAAACCACCTATGTAGTCAGCTGGTCTCTGCCTTTGTGCGCCAACGTCCATCCTCAGACACTGTGGGCCCTGTGCGCTCGCGTTCCGCTGCCATGGCAGCAGGGGAGGGGTGGGGTGGTAGGAGCAGTGTGGCAGCTCCACCAGCAGCAGCTGCCTCAGTCTGCAGTCGATGATGAGTAGCTTTCTTCACCAGCGCAGTGAGGAAACTAATAACCAGCCGCAGCCAGCAGCAGCAGCAGCATCAGGTGGACCTGGAGCAGGACCTCAAACAACAGGCTTAGGCCTACTTGGACAGCACCCTGCCAACCGAGGTAGACAATCCCCTTGACTACTGGGCAACGAAACTTGACCTTTGGCCCCAACTAGCTGAATTTGCCCTTGAAAGGCTGTCATGCCTGGCCAGTAGCTTGGCATCGGAGCGCGTGTTTAGTGCGGCAGGAGGTATTGCAACTCCGCGGAGGACACGACTGTCCACCCAAAGTGTGGAGAGACTCACGTTTGTGAAAATGAATCAGGCGTGGATTAGTCTGGATTTCAAACCACCAGTTCCTGACACAACTGACTAAATCCGCCATGAATCATGCCCCAAACATGTGCCACTTTCAGGTCTCCTCACACTGCTGGTGTGTTCCATTTTTTGTCATAGGGTGCTGGCAGATTACGGGCCTCCCATAGCTGCTGCCAGGCCCCTAATCTGCCATTGGCCCCTATACCGCCTCCTCATGCTGCTGCCAGGTCCAGAGTCTCTCATGGGTCCCTGTACGGCCTCCCATTGCTGCTGTCTCCATCACCACACTCTGCCATGTGCCACTTTCAGGTCTCCTCTCACTGCTGGTGTGTTCCATTTTTTGTCATAGGGTGCTGGCAGATTACGGGCCTCCCATAGCTGCTGCCAGGCCCCTAATCTGCCATGGGCCCCTGTACCGACTCCTCATGCTGCTGCCAGGCCCGTAATCTGTCATGGGCCCCTGTACCGCCTCCTCATGCTGCTGCCAGGTCCAGAGTGTGTCATGGGTCCCTGTACGGCCTCCCATTGCTGCTGTCTCCATCGCCACACTCTGCCATGTGCCACTTTCAGGTCTCCTCACACTGCTGGTGGTTTCCATTTTTGTCATAGGGTGCTGTATGGCCTCCCATTGCTGCTGCCTCCACCGCCACACTGTGGCTCCACACTCTGGTTTTGGCCCTGTGACTGCCCAAATGAGTGAAGTGTGCGGTGATTCTAAGATCGACGGCACTCATCTGCATGTCATACTGACTGACAGTATTATTTCTCTTCCCCAGCAGACTCCAAGGGCATTTAAATTAAAGGTACAGTGTTCTGCACTAATATAAAGGCTCTCTGAAGCCTAGAAACACCCTTTTATAAGTTAAATTTGCAGCGAATATATTCGACTCGAATCAAAATTTTTCCACGAATTCGCCGAATCAGTCGAATCAAATTTTTGAATACTTTGCTCATCTCTAATTATATCCATTTTAGAAAACTTCTACCAAACTCTCTATGGCCCGGACCCTATAGACATCACTAAAGCTACCTCCTTCTTGGATCATGTCTCATTGCCACAGTTAGACCCAACCTCACTTCAAGCCTTAAATGCTCCCATTACTCTGACGGATGTATCTCTAGCTATTAAATCACTTGCAAACGGTAAAGCTCCAGGCCCCGATGTCTATACAGCCGAATTTTACAAGCTAATGGCTGAAACCCTTTCCCCTACATTACAATCGGTGTTCCAGGCCATTCAGACAGGAGGAGACTACCTTCCCTCCGGATTCCAAGCCCACATTAAATTGATTGCCATAAAAGATAAAGACCCGTCAGAACCTGGTTCGTATCGTCCTACATCCCTACTGAATCTCGATGCAAAACTCTTGTCAAAAATTATTGCCTCTCGCCTAGCAACTATTTTTCCCTCTCTTATTCATCCTTCCCAAGCGGGTTTTGTGCAGGGACGTTCAGCAGCTTTGAATATTCAAAGGTGATATCCGCTTTTAGTCAAGCCTCGAATGACACACTCCTAGACGCAGCAATAATTTCATTAGACACCAAAAAGAATTTTGATAATGTTAATTTTGAATGGCTTTTCTTAGCGCTAAGAAAGTTTGGATTTGAAGGCCCGTTTATGCTTCTAATCCAAACCATGTACCAGGGGCGGACTGACCATTTGGAAACTCGGGCACTGCCTGAGGGTCTGGGGGCAGTAGGGGGCCCCATGAGATGCCCCTGGTACCTTTTTCATAGACTTTATTGAGTTTGGGCAAGGACACAGGGGCCCCATAATCCCCTATTGCCTGGGGGCCCCATGAATTGTCAGTCCGCCCCTGCCATGTACTCATCTCCAACAGCCCGAGTGGTAGCAGCAGGTCACATATCCAACCCTATTCATCTCCACAAGGGTACTAGACAGGGGGGCCCTCTTTCCCCATTACTTTTCAACTTGGCCCTAGAACCGTTAGCACGCTTCCTATTATTTCACTCTGATCTCCATGGCATCACAATTGGGCAACAAGAGCTGAGACTTGCCTTGTTTGCAGATGATATTTTAATTTTTACCTCGCATCCATCCCTTGGCCTACCCTATATCCAACATATTTTCTCCTCTTTTCGCCTTTGCTCCGGACTCAGCATTCATTTTTCTAAAAGCGAGGTGCTTCCATTATTCCACTTCCGCCTCCTGGTATGGACCCAAAACTCAACATTCAAAATCGCTACTAAACATATCACCTACTTCGGTATAAAGATAGGGAAACTAGCTTCATCCTTATATACCCTAAATTATACGCCAACGATTGCCAAAATTATTGGGGAACTGGAAATGTGGAAGGACTTACCGCTTTCCCTCCTGGGATGATCACACCTTTTTAAGATGGTCAGCTTTCTGAAACTTCTCTACCCGCTCCAAACCATACCTCTCCTGCTTAAACACAGCGACATAACAAGGCTAAATCGGGCAATATCAACTTTTTTATGGAAATTCAAACGTCCCCGTATAGCACTTGATAAATTATTATTACCAAGATGCGAGGGAAGCTCCGGTCTCTCGAACATTCAAATCTATAAAATTTCATGCTTGCTTCGTATAGGCCTAGACTAGCTCACCTAATCCTCCAATTACTCTAATTATCATTTGGAATCTGCACTAGCACATTCCTATGATCTCTCAGCCTTATTACACTCCAATGTCAACTCTTTGCCCCCCCACTTAAAACATAACCCACTCATCCGCAACACCCTTATCACATGGAGGGAAGTCAGGCGTAAACTGGGGGTCTCCCCTTGGCTTTCACGCTTTCTTCCTATTCACCCTAACCCCTCCTTTCCTCTTCCACAATCTCAGGATACTTATGACACTTGGCGAGTTCAACACCTGACTTTGGTACAACAAATATATGACACTTCTATGGGTTCCCCAAGACCTCTTAACAGTATCCTACAAACCTACGGACTTCCGGATCACCATTTATTCTACATGCTCCAAGTAAGGAATTTTGTCAACTCCATTACACCCACTAAATCTACCAGATTTCAGTCTATATTTATTGATGTCTTGGCAAACTCTTGAAAATACAATATTTCAAACATATATAGACTGCTGAACCTTCTATTTGCCAAACCTTTCGAGACATTCAATGCTGTTAAATCCTGGGTCAAAGATTTCAATGACCACTCACAGCTGACCAATTATTATCAGGCTTCCAATCCACATGTACCTTCAGTAGCAATGAATTCTGGCGTGAACAACAGCTTAGGATTCTCCACCGCGCCTATATGCCCTGTCTCAAAGATCCGGCTATGTCTACCTGCTCTCTGTGCGGAATTTAAAAACCATCATTACAACACAGATTTTGGACCTGTCCTGCTATCTCTACATTCTGGAAGCAAGTGGTTAATTTCATATACGTCATCACTGCTTTCCTATTACCCATCAGCCCGCTACCATTACTATTTGGATTTATGGAACAGCCAATCATTGGTCTCTTCTCCTCACAAACTTCATCCTTCAGAGATAACAAATCTTGGATATCAACATGCCTCCTAATAGCAAGACGGGTCATTCTCCGCAAATGGTTCTCCAACTGCCCTCCAACTATGACGGACATCAAACATAAGCTCAACTCTCTTCTACGTTTGGACAGGCTTCACCTAATTACATCACCGACTACTTCAAAGGAATCCCATTATTTTAGAAAGTGGAATTCCTATATTACAGGTT